AGGGTTCAACCCTAAACCGTAAACCCTAAACCCGAGGAGAAGGGGTTTCGGATCCAGCTTTGGCAAGGGATCCGAAGCCTCAGCACCCAAAGCCCTGGCTTAACATAGGGGCCTATTTCGGGGCTCCTCGTTATAATTATAGAAGAAGATACCACACAACCCTATTCTAATAATTAAGTCCCCCGTATTATAAGATTCGGGGATCAGGGTTGAGGGCTTAGAGTTTAGGGTTTCGCCCTAGCTAAACCCAGGGTTGAGTAAGAAAAGGGGTCAGGGTTTAGGGTTCAGGGTCCAGGGTTTAGGGTTTAGGGTTACAGGGTTTTAGGGTTTTGGGGGTTTGTGGCGTATGGCGTAGGTCTAGGCGCGAAATCCCCAACGGCAAAACACCCGTGCCGTGTGTAACATGACCTGGTAAGATTCTTATCCTGGTATCTTTCAAGAAGTTCCGTCGCTTCCTAGATCTCTACATCGTCAGCCCAAGAATCCGGATCGCCAGTTTTCTTCAAGCTCCCCTAAACCCTAAACCCTAAACCCTAAATCCTAAATCCTAAACCCTAAACCCTAAACTGCCCTAAACCCTGGCGTCTAGGATTCTCCCCAGAAGCGGTGTTTGCCTGGGGGGTTTCCGAGCTGGGCCTTCGGGCTTAGGTGTTTGAAGTCTGTTCCTAAGGTTTCCGGACCGCAGCTTTGGGTTTACGGGATGTTTACGTGGGGTTTAGGGTTTAAAGGTTTAGGGTTTAGGGTTTAGGGTTTAGGGTTTAAAGGTTTAGGGTTTAGGGTTTAGGGTTTACAGGTTTAGGGTTTAGGGTTTAAAGGTTTAGGGTTTAGGGTTTAAAGGTTTAGGCTTCTTCAGACCTAAAAGCCTGGTCTGTACGACCTTGCGCAGATCTGCCTTCAAATCTGACCTCCCAAATCCTACGACAACCATAAGCCGCAAAGCCCCTAAACCCGTAAACCTGAAACCTGAATCCCGGATCCCTAAACCCCTACACCCCTAAACCCTGAACTCTAAACCCTAAGCCCTAAACCCTAAACCCTAAACCCTAAACCCTAAACTCTAAACCCTAAACCCTAAACCCTAAACCCTAAATCGAACCCTCAAAGCATGAACCCCGACACGGACGCCCCGCGCAACAAGGGCAAAACGCTCGCCGACTCCTTCGTCCGCTCCATGGAAACTGCCGAGACCTCACCAGCGTTTGGGTTTAGGGTCTCGGGCTTTGGGGTGACAGTTCGGGTTAGGGGGGGTGGTAGGGTTGAGGCCCCGCTCGCGGATTGAGGGTTCGGGGCTGTGGTTCAGGCCCATCAGAAGGTGAGACCTGCTGCAGAATTTTTGTCGGGTTTCAGAGTTGAGGTTTTGGGTTTAGGGTTTAGGGTTTAGGGTTTAGGGTCCGAGGCTGCAACAGTTTAAGATTTTTTTGCAGGGTAGCCAGGGTGCAGGCTTCGGCTGGGGTAGTGAGACTCTAAGCCTTTTTTTTGGGGGGGGGATTGGGGGCGATGGTTTGTCGGTGTGTTTGGGGACAAATGATTCCGAGAGAGAGAGAGAGAGAGAGAGAGAAAGAGAAAGAGAAAGAGAAAGAGAAAGAGAAAGATAAAGAGAAAGAGAAAGAGAAAGAGAAAGAGAAAGATAAAGAGAAAGAGAAAGAA